TTACCTGAGCTCAGGTGACCTCTGTGTGTGATTTTAGGTGGCAGGGTTACGAGGGCTTCGTTCCTGTCCACAGCCTGCCCACGTTCGGCTGCAGAGACTGGGAGGACTTCAGCACGGACGAAGGCTCCTTCCTCATCTACTCCAGCGCCAAGTCCAGGCTCAGCAAGGTGTTCAAACTGAGGAACTACTGAGTGAAACCATCCTGGAGAGACTCCTCTGAGGTCATGTGATCATTCAGTGGACTGAACTTCCTGTGAGCTAAATCCTGAGTTCATCCTGAGGAGAACATCATTTAAATCCAGCGATAAAAACCCCAAAGATTAAAGATCCATTTATGCTGTTTGGACATCAAGTCACATTAAGCTCTGCTGACGAGGACAGTGCCTCTCTGACCCTGTGTGATCCATAAACCTCAGAAATGAATCATCAGATGACTCAAAAATGAAAGTTGTCCAGTTTAAGTCAGCTGATTACACTCAGAGAACCTCCCGTTTCACTGAATCATGGACGTGAAAACTTAAAAACAGACAGGTCTCAGCCTTCTTCAGATTTTCCACCAAGTGCTCAATAAGCACTCTAAACAAAAGAGCATCATTCACCTGGATACACAAATATTTCCTTAAATCTCCTCCTAAAGGAAAACACCAACGCTGAGAGATCTCGGAGCGCTTACTGAAAAACCTCCAGTGACTCCTGCAGCTGAAACACATCTCAGCACCGTGTCCTCTGCATGATGGCGCCTTTAACCGGAAACATGTTCTCACAATGTTATTTATACAAAAACATGAAACGAGGCCTGAGATGGGACCCTGCGGGACTCCCTCAGAGAGTCTGAGGAAACCGTTTCATGTCACTGGGTTCAGTCGATCATCAGACAGAGCGGCACGCCACTGCTTCCTGTGACGCCCATCTGTGTCTCTGGTCTGTCCGTGGACAGATGTCAGAGACAGTTATCGTAGGAGGTGGAGGTCCAGATGTTCGTCCCATCAGCTCTCCACATGTTCAAGTGTTTTTCTCTGCTTTGTTCAGCAGTTTGTTTTCTACACTTTTGGTTCATTCAGAGTCTTCACATTTCATTAAATATGATGTTTTCTGACACTCTGGGCATTTTTTTACTCTATTTATTACATTTGTTCATATTTGTGGATATTTTTTTTCTGACACTTTTTTCAATATTTTGCATGTTTGTGTTTTGAAATGTTATTTCCAGTTATTTATGTTTTAGCTCATTTGCTGATTGATGTATAAATTAAACATTGAATAAATTCTTTTAAAAAGGTGAATATTTTCATTTATATGAACGTGAGAAGCTCGACGCAGAGACGGATATTTCCTCTGTATCTGCTGATCTGAAATGCCAGCTTAAAGGGTCATTCCGCTTCATTTCAGCTAGCCGTATTTTCCTTTACCTGGACCTGCTTCGTTTTTCTTCCATATTTCCAGTTCCTGTGGTAGATGTTCTGATTAAACATGACCCAAGTTTGTAATAATGACCTCGTTGTATGTACAATAATCCTGTGAGCCCAGAGCTCGGGCTGCTGGAAACACTGGATGGATCTGGATGATATAATAGAAAGGAGGAAGACCTGGCCCC